AAGGATTTACTGCTGCTACTATTTATAGTTTTTGCTATATATTCTATTCCCTTTTTTGCTATTAGTACTTGTTTGTATTCATGTGTATTCCAATGTTGAGAGCAGTCAGTGAGAAAATATTTTGCTGTAATGTTTAAGTCCTATACTGTGTTCATTAACTAGGATGTTGCTGGAATCAGTACAGCCAGAGACCCCTGGTCTTTCAACACCAGTGCTGTGAGGAAGGATGCTACAGTAGGCCAAGCAGAGACAGGGAGGAGTATGGTAGAGGTAGGTAAAACCCAACAGACAGACAGTGACAACAAAGAACAACATACTGTAGAGAATGACAGTAACAGCAGACAAATGGCATAAACAGACAGCACACAGACTCTACAACATCCTCAGATTATTTTTCTTTTGTTTTAACTGTATGTGTAAATTTGTTATAAACGTGTGCTCTTTAAAAAGTAGTAAGCATTGTTTGCCAGACACATACATTAAATGTTTAAATATCTGTTACATATATGGTACTGCTTATATTATTTCACCATCTGTACACAAATGTAAGTAGTGAATGCGTGTGTCTGTGGGTGGGGCTGTGTCGGTGTGGTAATGTGGGCCGGTGTGGCTACAGTGCCAGGGCTGAATTTTTGTCCCTGTCCGCCCCTGGTTGGTCATGTTAATTACATTTTTTGTTATCTCTGTATGGGTATGTTTTCTCCACTAGAGGGCGCTTTTAATCCTGTTTTTTTAATTGTGTGTTCTTGCTATTACCTTTGCGCTGGCATTTTTATGCATTTAGTATCATTGATATAGTATTATACTTTTTTATTAATATTTTAGTTTTTGTTTTGAATCACATTTTCTTTTTGTATTTCATTTTTTCCTTTTAATTTCAAAGTTTTAATATTTTTTTTTATTCTGTGTTCTTGTCATTTTTATATTTTTATAGTGTTTTTTTTATTTATTAAGTTTTTAGTTTTATTTCATTTAGTTGTAGTTGTTTTAATACTTCAACTTAAACAAAAAAAAAAAAAAGAAGAGAGAAATGTTGCTTGGCTAGCAGAAACAAAATAGGTTTGTTTTTAAATATAGGCTAATAGTTTAAATAAAGTAGCTTGTATATATTTTTAGACAGTATTTATTT